AGATCAAAGAGCTAGATGGCCCACTTCGCAACTGACCACCTTTGTTAATAAGGACATGTGTCAATATTGTAAACAGAATGCACACTGGTAAAACATCATCCCATTTTACAAACAAACAAACAAAAAAACCCCAAGACAACTAAAAGTCCGTCAATTTAGGTCAATGAAGGTGCTACAAGAAAGGAAAATGCACCCAATATATTGTCTTACCCCTAAACATCCAAGGTATATTAACTATAAATATAGATGGTCACCCTCATCTCTGTTGATGCCTCTCAGAAGCATTCCTCCTAGGAGAAAGGTACTCATGCCTGCCCTAACAGACCAGGCTCCCTAGAATGTGTGAAAACCCTCCCCAGTCATCTATTGCAAAAGGCTGGAACTCTGGGACTGAGACATATACTCTAACCATCAGTGACACTCGAAGGTGCACAGTACTTCATGCTTTTGTACATTTATTCATTTCTTCATTTGTTGATTCATACTTTCACTATCTCCAGCTACCACAGGTAAACAATGAAATTACAAAACACTAATCAACAGAGGAATAAATCAAAGATACTGGGGACCCAGAGGAGGAGGTAAATGGGATTTTTGCCAACAATCCTCATGTGGGTCAGAGTTATTATCACTATTTTACAGTTATGGAGAAACGAAGGATCAGAGAGATTAAGTGACTAACCCATAGAGGACAGAGGAAGGGAGAACTGGTAGAAGCCCAAGAGATAAGGCATGGAGAACACTAAAGTGGGGAGAACCAGCCTCACTTCCTAATTTTTTTCCTGGGACACTTGGGATTTTTTGCTTCTTCCATCCTTCCTTTCCTCCAAGGAATCATTGTCAAGGGAAATCCTCCTTTCTTCACAGTCTTCTCCAGAGACTGAAACTTGCCCCAGGAAAAAGGAAATAGAAAATGGCTCTGTGCCATCTCATTTGTGAGCTGGAAGCTTGATATCCTAGCAGGAGTTGCCTCAGCCTCCCTAATTGGGATTGGAGTCATGCAACCCTCTCAAGTTGATTACATGTCACTTCCTCAGAGCTGACTGGCCTATTTTGATTCTGTTTTAGGAAATCTCCCTCATTAGCATTTGCTGCTCCATTTGGGGGTCAGGTTAGCCAAGTTTACACCTAGAATTTTCTCATATTTCTTTTCATTACCACAGACTATCCCTATGGAACTTGTTCCCCACTCCTCACAGTTCCACATCGCACAATGGGTAATCAGATCTCAGGGGCTGGAGGAGATGGTAACCTTATATGTCACCTCTACTAGGAATTTGTAAAGTAATGAGAATTTGTAAAGTAATGAGAATTTGTAAAGTAATGAGAAACACTGGTTCTTGGAGTTAGAAGACCTAGATTGTAAGGGTGGGATTTGGGGCTCTAATAAAGGAAGGGAAGAGATTCCCCTTGGCACGGGGTGGACTCTACTAGAGAGGGGTTGCTTATTCTCCAGGGAGGTTAAAGCAATGCTAGCTGAGTTCCCACTGCCCACCTTAATTCTCCCTTTGCTTTCCCAGAGCTGAGTGAATTGGAATTATCATTGTCACCAGCACATTCCCAAATGGCATTCTCAACTCTAATGTTTTTTTAGTAAGCCATACTGGAAATGTGTACATTGGGCTTGGTCTAGAAGGAATAGCCACATGAAGAGTGTCAGCGGTCTGGGTAGAATATTAGCCAGGGGTTCAGATCAGCCAATCTACCTGCTCTTTTCACAATCCACCCAACGGGAATTGCCTCATTAATGCTCCAATGGAGTCTTCCTGGGACTCTTGCTTTCCTGCAGCATAATGTCCTGCAGGCTGAATGGTCATCAATTCTATTCCCTATTCTTGAGCACTTGGCTGACCCACATTTCTCCCTTGCATCTAAGTGGGGGCATGAGCTTAGACACGAGCGCTGTGCTTGACTCCTAAAATGTCTACATAATCCTCCACAAAAGGAATCCCTTTTTTCTTTGGGCAGGTGGATGTAGACAATCTAGAAGAGGTCTCCAGGGCCCTGGAGAATTCCAGGGCTCTAGAAAATAGTGGCGTCACACATTGTGGCTTTGTCCAATATCCTGCTTCCCAGCTTATTTACTCTCCTGAAGAAAATAAAAAGAAACAAAAGAATATATCTTCGGGGCAGAAGAAAACACAGCTGCAAAGCAAACAGCCACACCAAGGGTCCCCAGAGCAGTAGGCTGCTTGCCAGGCTTCAACGAGGAATATCATTCCACTGGTGCCCATCCCCATCCTCTACCATTTCTACTATGATGAGAAATATAGTCACTAACTTCCAACTCCATTAATTTTAGGCAAGTATTAGCATAAATAATCAAACAACGGGCCTCTCGTTCCCTGTAGCTTCTGTTGACATAGGAATGAGGCTGCAAAGATGAATTACCAAGTACATATCTCCTTTCTGCTTATCTTTTCAATAATATCTTTTCCCCACATACTCAACAATATCTTTTCCCCACATACTCCGTAACCCACAACCACTGAGAGGTAGCCAGCACCAAACTCTACTGTCCTTATGGTGGAATAGGGTAGCACTGAGCCCTCACCCCTTTACCCAGTACCCCTGTTGACCATAGTAGGCATCTAGGATGAATGGCACTATTAGGGAAATTGGAAGGCTTAAGTTTGGGGTCAGTCAGGTTGTGGGTCAGCTTGTAGCCAGAGCCATTGTAAGCTTAAAGGTCAGGCCAGAGGTAGAGATCCATTTGCAGCTGAAGAATAGAAAGGATGTCTATGTTCTTCATAGGAACTGATCCCAGGAAGTGGCAGCATTAGCCAGGTTTTCTAGTTGACATACATGAATTTACACCCTTTCAGCCTCCACTGCTATTCTGAGGCAGGGAAGAATTGGAAAACAGTTCCTTTGCATTTGGATTTTCTTTGAGAATTTAACTGAAAAGAGTCTCCAGGACCCAGATACCAAACCCAAAGAAAACTTTTTGTCCATGGGAAAGATCTCCTCTTAACTCTTCTGGGTAGCACTTTCTACAATTTGAATGTAAGCCCCAGGATGGCAGGGATTTTACTTTATACAACATCATATCCCCAGTGCCAGGAAAAGTTCTTAGCATATAGCTAGTGCTTAGTTAATTTGTGTTGAATGAATGAATAAAAGTTGTCCAGGCTTGGTGGGGTAGGAAGGAACTGTGGGTTGACTGGCTGGCCCCCACAAACAGGATATCTGTCAGGAATGCCTGCATTCTCTCCCATTCAACACCCTGACTGAAAGAAACAACCACCCTGCACCATTTCCATGAGAGTCCAAATCTCCTCATACCTCTCATGATCTCTTGTAGGGTTCCTTTAAACCTCCTCTTTAAGGGCTAAAGTCCCAGTTTACCAGCCTAGGAGTTAACTTCTCAGTTGTGGGATAAACCTTTCCTTTTTCTTTACTCTCGCTCTAAAGGGATCTCATAAAGGAGATGCTTAGTTTTCCTTCTTAAACTAGAAGCCATGCTGTTGGATCACAAAGAACCCAAGGGCCAGCCAGGTCTCCAGGGCTCACAGGTCCAGCAATTTGATCCCTTCCCAGATTTGAGCATAATAAACTGGTAGAGAAAGCTCACAATTTCACACCTCCTGCCTTTCCCTCTTTCTTCCCCTAGAGCTCTAGAACCTCCAAAGCCCTCTTGTAGACCCAGATCTGAGACGTGGTAAAGCTGCCCCATCTCCTTCCAGGCACACTATCCCACAATTTCTCCTCACCCTGCTGGCAAGTATACCTCCAGCCAGCCTTATGCTGGTTCTCTAGACCAGGATCAGGCACAGATCTCTATGTGACACCTGTCAGGTAGCCCCCTACCACCCCAGGCTCAGCTTAGATTTAACTTTGTCTCCTATTCCCAGTCATCCTTGAAAACTGACCCAGCCCAGAATCAGATGTACTCCACGAGGGTTATCCCTGTCTTACACTGTGAGATGGCAGCCAGTCACAGACACAGAGGCTGCCACCTGACACTCCCATGTGAGAAGCTCCTGGCCTCTCCTTCCAGAGCCCTCTGCCCCTCCCCTTCAGAGAGGAAGCCCAAACCCACAGTTCTGCTTTTGATCAGCTGCCAAATAATCCTCATAAGGCACCTTGCTTTCAACTCTCCACAGTAAGCCCCCAAAGACCCAAGTAAAAGATGGAAGATGTAATGGGAAGCTGAGGGCCTTGGAAGAGCTGTTTCTAAGCTATGACTATAACAGCTTTGGCTTCCTAGGCTGGGGAGGGGATGGGGAGGGGGGTTACCCATTTCTCCCATTTCTCCCATTTTTCTTCTTTTCTCCAAAGCACCTTCTCATCTAGGACTCTCATACATCCTGAGATGTCATTCACAGCTAGTGGGCACTGAGGCCATGAGTTCTCTGCCCCCTCCCAGATGCCTCTGTAAACAGGTCCTCATCTCCCTGGCATGGCTCAAGACTTCCTCATCCTGCACTTACTTGGTGGCATTATTCTCCCTGCAGTTCCCCCCTCCCCTGCCACCCAGAGTGTCCAACATAGCTTGACACATGACAGCAGCCTGGTTAGTATTTTTATGTTGGCCAAAGGAATGGTCTCTTTTTGTTTCTCCCTACCCAGTCTTGTTAGTCAACAAGAGGCTCCTTAAACCCACCGCTCCACCTGTGGCCCGAGTTCATACCAGCTCCACATTCCCTCTGTCCTCTGTCCTACCTGTTCAAATCCTGCCCTGCGTAGTCCCACTCAGCTAACAAATATAGGCACTGCTCTGGGGCCCTAACAGATATTAATTCATTCAGTCTTCACGCTTAGGTAGACACTACTCTTATCTTCATTTTACAGATGAGAAACTAAGACACAAAGAGGTCAAACAGCTAACATAGGGCGGAGCCTAGATTTGGAGCCAGACTGTCTGCCCCACCTCCTTTAACCATCCCGCCAAGTGGCCTTTCCCACCCTCCAGCACTTAAACCCTCCCTCCCTAGAACGAGGCCACTTATTTAGTGTAGCAATGGGAAGTTTTATTTCGACATCCGATATGGAGTAAAGTAACAGTGCAGAAGTTGGTGTATGCAGACCAGTTGTCCTGGGCAGGGTCTGAAGGCTGTAACCATATAAGTAGTCTCTTGTTCCTTCGCCCACATAGGCCCGCAAAGCTTCCGACACCCTCTGGAGCTCTCCACGCCACTGCACTGGACAGAGGTGTCTGAGACCCTCCTTTGTCCAGTCCCCTGAGAGAAGGAAGGAGGTGCAGCAGATCCATCCCGGGCTCTCCCTGGAGGAGACCCGCCGCGGCATGGCGCGGTCCAGTCAGCAGGCTGCAGATCCCAGGCGCTTGCTGCTCTCTGGCGGCCGGAGCCGGGAGTCCGGGGACCCGGGAATCGCACCTTCTACACTCAGCGCGCCCAAGGGCACCAGCAGTGACCGAGACGCTGGGGAAAGGGCGGGAGGGAGACTTAACTGAGTGGTAAGAGAGAGGAGGCGGGGTAGGGGCGCGGGAGGTGGAAGGGAGCGGACCGCGAGGGGAGAGGGCGGGCGTGAGCACCCGCGGCGCGGCGGGGGTGGCTTCCGCGGGGTCGGAGCACTAGCCAGCGCCACCGCCCTTTGGGACCCCGGAACGCCAGCTCGCCCAGAGCGCAGATTCCCTTCTTCCGGCAACTGTGGCGGCTGGTCCCTCGGTGCCAGCGGCCCCTCTTCATCCCCGGCGCTGCCCTTCCTCCCCTCCGTCCCGGCCCCGCGCCCAGTAGCTAGCTCCTCAGTGGTCGCCGCCCGCACCGCCCGGCCCCGAGCCGCCGCTTTGCCCGCTCGCCTGGGCACGCTGCGAGAGAGGCGCGCGTCGCCAGCTCCGGCTCTTCGGTCCCACTCCGCGGCCGCCCGCTCCGCTCGCGGGCAGCAGTGCTCCACGTCACAGGAACTGAGGCAGGACCCCGACAGGACCAGCGCGCGGGTCTGGAGCCGGAGCCCCCAGCCCTACCAGTCGCTCGTCCTGCGCCCAGCCCCGGCCCCCGACGGCTGCGCGTTGAGATGACTTTCCGCTATCTCCTGAACGTCAGTTTCGAGGGACCCTGCTCAGACAGCAGCGCCGGGAGCTCCAGCGCGGGCGGTGGCGGGGGTGGCGCGGGCGGCGCGGCCGCCTCCGAGGGCCGGGAGGTGGACGGCGTGCGGGTGACCGCAGGCGGTAGCGGCGGCGGCGGCGTGGTGGGCGCGGGCAACGGCGAGGACAACCGGAGCTCCGCTGGGGAGCCGGGGAGCACCGGCGCCGGCGGCGAGGTGAACGGCACGGCGGCCGTCGGGGGGCTGGTGGTGAGTGCGCAGGGCGTGGGCGTGGGCGTCTTCCTGGCCGCCTTCATCCTCACGGCCGTGGCGGGCAACCTGATGGTCATCCTCTCCGTGGCCTGCAACCGCCACCTGCAGACGGTCACAAACTATTTCATTGTGAACCTGGCCGTGGCCGACCTGCTGCTGAGCACCACGGTGCTCCCTTTCTCGGCCACCATGGAGGTTCTGGGCTTCTGGGCCTTCGGTCGGGCCTTCTGCGACGTGTGGGCCGCCGTGGATGTGCTGTGCTGCACGGCCTCCATCCTCAGCCTCTGCACAATCTCGGTGGACCGGTACGTGGGCGTGCGCCACTCGCTCAAGTACCCAGCCATCATGACCGAGCGCAAGGCGGCCGCCATCCTGGCGCTGCTCTGGGCCGTGGCCCTCGTGGTGTCTGTGGGGCCGCTGCTGGGCTGGAAGGAGCCGGTGCCCCCTGACGAGCGCTTCTGCGGCATCACGGAGGAGGCGGGATACGCTGTTTTCTCCTCCCTGTGCTCTTTCTACCTGCCTATGGCCGTCATTGTGGTCATGTACTGCCGCGTGTATGTGGTAGCGCGAAGCACCACGCGCAGCCTGGAGGCGGGAGTCAAGCGCGAGCGGGGCAAGGCCTCAGAGGTGGTGCTGCGCATCCACTGTCGCGGCGCAAGCACTGGCTCAGACGGAGCCCACGGTGGGATGCGCAGCGCCAAGGGCCACACCTTCCGCAGCTCACTGTCGGTGCGTCTGCTCAAGTTCTCCCGTGAGAAGAAGGCGGCCAAGACGCTGGCCATCGTCGTGGGCGTCTTCGTGCTCTGCTGGTTCCCCTTTTTCTTTGTTCTGCCACTGGGTGAGTGACCCCTGTCCCACCAGCCCCTTCTCTTCCTCCCTGAGCCTGTGACCGTCCCTTCCTGGCACCCAGACTTGGATGGCCCTTCCCAGTGGAGGGTGACTCTCCACCTGAACATGGAAGGTTTACTGCCTGGTCTCTTAGACACGTGCGCATGCTGCTTTGTGGGACACAAATAGGCTCTTCATGCTTGCAGGATTTGTTTTATGAGCTTCTAACTTTTCTGGCCTTCCCCCTTCTTCACTGCCATTACAAGCCCTGGGCTTGTTTTACACTCCCCACTCCTCTAAATACAAAAGGTCAGTGGAAATCTGCGGGCATCTGCTCCCATAGTATGTGGCGAGCAGTGTATGTGCTTGTCTACATATCTCCCTCCCTCCACCACCAGGGCCTACATTCATTCATGGGCAGCAATCCCTGGCCAGTCTACGTGAACATCAGCAGACACCGGAAGCCACCTGCTTTCTCTGTTTGGAAGCTGGGCCCCCCTGGGAGGCCCTCCCCAGCTGGTATCTGTGAATGCTGTGGGCTCTCATTTCTGAAATCTCCTCTTGGGGGGGGGGGTCTGTGTGGGGGTGAGAAAGAAAGGGAAAGGGCATCTTATCAAATGGAAAGTTAATATTGTTCATCATAGTTTCTTAAATTTACAGAGTCCTAGCACTTCTGGAGAACTTTGTTATTTCTTTCACAGGCTTTCCTGTAGTCCTGGGAGGTGGGCAGCTGTTCTCAGGACCTTCCTCCCATGCCTTGAGGCCCCTCCTGGAAGCCTGGGGGCTCGGTCAGCACAGGGAGAAGAAAGGGAACGGCATCTATGGGGTTGCTTTTGCCCTGAGTCACTTCACCCACAGGTGCAACCAGCCAGCCCAAGCCAGGGCCTCCCACGCACCTGTAACCGCCCACATTGAACAGATGACAACATTTCGCCATATTTGCCTCAGGTCACTTCCTCCCTCTCCTTTCAGATAAACAGAACAGCCGCAACTAAGTTCCCTCCTCCTGTCCCTTCCTCATTTTCTCCCTCTCTCTGCAGAGGTAGATCTGGTGTTTATCACTCCCACACACGTTTATACTCTTACTACAAACACCTGAATCTATAATAATAAATAGCATTGTTTTGTGTGTCCTTTGGACTTATATAAATTGCACCAGCTGTGCACATCCATCTTCAGTTTGCCCTTTTCACCCAATGTTTTGTTGTTGAGATTTATCCATTCTGGTTATTTTAGCAACAGCATAGTATCCTGTTTGAAAGTATGCCATGGTGTGTTGATGCAGTCTCCTGCTGAGTGTTCAGTTTTTCTAATTTTTCGCTGTTATAATCAACACTGCAAAAGGCTACTGTTTTTTGAGGTCGAGATCACGTCTCCCTCTTCGAAAAAGTCATCCCTAAATCTCCATGGCCTCTGCCCTTGCTGGCAGACACTGCTCTTCCTCAACCCCTCGCCTCTGCTGCTCCTCACACCTCGCGTGGGAACCCTGGGGCTATCTTGCGTCTCCCTTCCTGCCGGTCTACACTGTGCCCAGCCTCCCATGGCATCTCACCAAGTCTAGAACAAAGCCCAGGGCCACAATGGAGCTGAATTTAGTGGATTCTGGTAATAATGAGCAAGCAGGACAGAGGCCAAGCAGGGAAACAGAATATTCTGATCTACCATGACGTGGCTTGGAGGGCAGGACAGCAGAGAGAACAGGAGGACAGAGCCTGTGGTACAAGCAGGAGTGGCCTGAGGGTTGTGCAGAAAGAAGGGGGGCCAGGAGCAACCCCCCCCCAGGAGCTCTGGGGCCAGGCCTGGGAGGAGGGAGGCGTCTTTGGAGGAACAGGGAACATTCTGAGCAGCAACTTTTGGGGTTGAATGTGGAATCCAAGGAGCTGGCATATTTTGGTAGGAGGTGCCAGTATGTGCTTGGGGGAAGAGGATGTTGGGAACTTAGATAAGGGGACCAAGGATGGATATGGTTGCAGAAGCAGGAGTGTGGGGTACAGTCTCCCAGAAAGAGGAAGGATGGACAAAGAGAAGAGATGGGCTGGGGAAGGAGCCTTGGGGTGTACCCACTTTGAAAGAACCCAGAAGGAGGCAGAGAAGGGGGCAGCCAGGAGAAGGTGGTACCGCCCTTCTTGCAGGCCCTGGTTCCCACACCAGGTGTGAGGAACAGCAAACGTGGGAGGATTGAGAAAAAGCACTGTGTGCCAGCCAGGGCCACAGGCCATGGAAATGAAGGTGCCCAGTAGGGCCACGACCTGGGGTTGTTGAGCAGACCCAGGGTGCCCTTCACCCACATCTCCACACACAAAGCCAAGTGGAAGCAGGAGCCCCAGCCACAGCAGTGATATGGCCAGTGAGCAGCCCCAATAGGCCAGAGGATATCAAAAGCTTTAGGAAGTGGGCCCAGGGTCCCAGTGGTATACGCACAGGGGGCCATGAACAGCCATCTATCACCTGAAATGTTTTAGTCAAGCCAGAGCTGCAGCAGAGGGAGATACAGACAAGGTATGCTGACCTGTGGGGCCATTGGGGCTCAAGTTGCTGGGCAGGAAAGAATGGCACACAAGCACAGGGCACCTAAAATCCTGAGGGTCTCAGAGAGGGACTAGGGGTCATCCCCCACACCTCCGTTTCCCTGTCTGTGACTCGATCTAGGCAGTGACTACATTGGTGAATATATATGTAAAGTCATCAGTCTATACTCTTAAAATGTACACACTTTATAAACTTGACTGTCAGTATCTTATGCCTTAATGAGAGAGAGAGAGGGAGAGAAGGCGGGAGGAGGCAGGAGGAGGTTGTGAGCCATCTGAGGAACTGGCGTCCAGGCAGGAAAGCACACTTTGGCAGCCAGGTGTGGAGGGCAGATTCAGCGTTTGCGTCTCAGAGTGCTGGCCAAGTACCGAAGGACCCATCTCCACAGGCTCCCTGAGGTGGTGCAGGTTCCACAGACTCAAGGAGAGAGGCAGGGGGTGCGCTGCAGCAAGTTCTCAGGAATGGCATTACTGTTCCCTGGCCCAAAAACCTGAAGAAGAGGCTGGCATTACATCTCCTATCTGTGCCTTTGTGGCACCTGGCACACAGTAGATGCTTGGTCAGTGTGTGTATAGGAGGAAGAAGTGGCAGAACCCATGGCCTTTTCACATCCTTCCGTGCCGAGGATCTGGTTGACAAAGCACAGCCCTCTATCTTTACTATTATTATTATTCCTGTGGTAAGAACATAACATGAGATCTACCCTTTTAACAAATTTTTAAGCATGCAGTATTGTTAACTCTAGGCACAAGGTTGTACAGCAGATCTGTAGAATTTATTCATCTTGCTTAACTAAAACTTTATGCCTATTGATTAGCAACTCCCCATTTCCCCCTCCCCTCAGCCCCTGGCACCCACCATTCCACTCTTTCTTTGAATTTGACTATTTTAGCTACCTTCATGGAAGTGGAGTCATGCAGTCCTTCTGTGACTGGCTTATTTCACTTAGTATAACAGCCTCTGTGTAAGCAGAGACCTCCCTTACTCGCAATGCATTTACGCCCATTTATGTGACCTAAAAAAGTTTTTAAACATAACAGCTAACATTTATTGAGTGATTATTATGAACAAGCAGTGAGCTAGGGGTTTTATTTTCCATTTTTAAAAATCATGGATAGTTTCAAACACATAAGTAGACAGAACGGTGTGATGGCCCCAGCTTCAACAATATCAACCCAAGGCTGATCTTCGTTCATTTCAAACCCCGCCCACTTTCCACCACTGCTTATTATTTTGAAGAAAATCCCAGACACCGTATCAGTTCATCTGTAAATTCTTCAATGTATATTTCTAGAAGAACTTTTAAAAAATAACCACAATCCATTATAACACAAAAAATAGTTGTTTAATAGTACCAAATATCTTAGTGTTCAAATGTTGCTGATTGCCTCATAAAATTTTAGTTTATTTGTTTGAATCAGGGTCCAAAAAAAAGTACATACATTGCATGCACTTGATTTGTCTCCTCAGTTTCTTTGATTAATAAGATTCCCCTACCCCCACCTTTTCCCTTTCAGCTTGTTTGGTGAAGAAACCAGATTGTTTGTCCCAAAGGAGTTGCCCACAGTTTGGAGTTTGCATCCCTATTAGTGCCATTTAACGTGTCCCCTTGTTCCCTGTACTTCCTGTAAACTGGCTTGAACAGATTCAAGTTCAGTGTTTGAGACAAGATTTCTTTTCTTTTGTGACGTTAAGATTGATCAGGGGTTCAGATGCAGTCAGCCTGATTCATTCATTATAAAATGTTCCATCAGCTTTTCACCTGCTAGTTTTAGCAGCCATTGACCATGGCCTGGACCCATTATATCACTGGGACTGAAAGTGGTGATATCCAAATTCTGTCATTCCTTCTGCATTTGTAGACTAAAATTCTAAAAAGAATTCACCACTAGCTGTTTGGTCACTTGAAATAGAGTCCATACAGCAAAATCAGGAGAGATGCTCGATGCTCTCCTTTATCAAAAGAAGAGTTGGGCTTCCCTGGTGGCGCAGTGGTTGAGAGTCCGCCTGCCGATGCAGGGGACATGGGTTCGTGCCCCGGTCCGGGAGGATCCCACATGCCGCGGAGCGGCTGTGCCCGTGAGCCATGGCCGCTGAGCCTGCGCATCCAGAGCCTGTTGCTCTGCAACGGGAGAGGCCACAACAGTGAGAGGCCCGCGTACCGCAAAAATAAAAAAAATAAAAAAATAAAAAAAGAAGAGTCAATTTCCTAGCAATCTTTCCAAAGGGGACCAATAGGTTTTTTAGTACCATGTTAAAAGTGATATTTAAATCTGTCACACATTATAGACATCACTATTTTGGGCTTGGCCAATGGGTGCCCTTGGCCCCTAGGGTCCTTGTTACTTCCTGCCTAGGTCAGAGATCAGAGGTCAAACTGAAGCCAGGGTTAAGGGTCAGTTGACAGACATGCTTTAAGCTTTAAATCTCACCAAATGCCTCAGCACCTGCTTACCTCCCCCCAGGCTCAGTTCCAGGCTCACTTCTGCCCCAGATCCTGGCCATGAGGGCCCTGAGCATTGCCATAGGACGTGACCACTTCCTGTGTGGCTTGGTCCTCCCAGACCACCAGAGCCCTTGAGCCCACTCCTCATGGGAAAGTCTCTGAGTTCCTGAGCCCACCTCTGACCCCACCTGAACCCTGCCCCATCCTGCTTCATGTGCTATATGCCCACCAAAAAGGTCTCCTTGAATGCTAGAAGATTTGCCTGCCCTCCTTTGCAGATGGTGACGCAGCAGAACATTGGCCTGGGCCCCTGAGAGCCAGCATTGGGACCTAGTGGGCAATGCCCCAGCAATTCAGTGCTGGGACTCCTGGACAGAGTGACCACTGTCTGGGAACTTCTCTCCTCTGGCGAAAGCACTGATCTGCTCCAACTTATGAGCCATTTGTCAGTGTGGCCTGAGAACTGAAAGGTTCATGTTCAGATCAGGGTCATGTTCAGCCAAGCACAAGGGCCATTTGGCAGGGACTTCAGCCTTGGGCACGCAGAGCTTGGGGTGTGACCACTCCAAGGCCACAGATCAGGGAATGAGTTAAGAAGTAACAACAAGAGTGGAAAAGAGGGGGAGAGAGGGAAGGTGGAGAGAGAGAAAGGGGAGAAGGGGAGGGAGAAGAGCTGAAGGGGAATGAATGGGGTCCAGTGTAGGACACTGAACAGGTCTGTGACTCATCTCCCTGCCTTGGGCCCCACCAGGCAGCCTCTGTGGCTCTAGGAACTACCCCTCCCTGCCAATCCACACAGCTGCAGAAGGATGTCCAGGGCCAGACCAGTAGCTCTAGGCCAGCCCCACAGAGCTCAAGGATCCTGAGGTAAACCCAGGGCACAGAAGGACTTCTGATCTATTCCTTGCCTATCTCAAGCCAGAGGACCCACCAGTTACCTCTCACCATGGAAGACTGGCAATGCAAGGAATTCAAGAGATTTAGCTTGGCACAGCTAGCCCCACAATATCCTCAACTCTGTGTCTTTATAATCCATCTGAGACCTGGACCCTATTCAGGTCACCTCTTCCTGACAGCCTTTTATGATTGTCTCTGCTTCAAAATGGCCTTATCTCTTACCATCTCTCCCTCCCCTTCTCTGTTCCAGCAGTCCTAACTTCTTGGTTGTCCTTGAACTTGTGCGGTACCCTGCTGCCTCAGGGCCTTTGCACATGCCCTCTCCTCTGTCTGGAATTCTCTTTCTTCAGGTAGATGCATGACTCACTCCCTCAGAGGGTCTTCAGGTCTCAGCTCAAGTGTGCCTTATGAGAGAGGCCGACCCTTGAAAATATTGCAAAGAGGTCCACTGCTTCCCAGCCTCTCTTGGGGAAGGTGCAATTGAGTTCTAGAGTCAGAAGCACTGAGTGAGCAGCTGAAAGAACTAGGAGAGAGAAAGGGAGTCTAGGACTGGGAATTCCATCTCTGCTAGCCCTGTTGGCAGAGAAAGACCTGAATATGGTATATGGTATTTTTAATCCCTCTATTCCTTTCTGGCTAGAGAAAATGGCTGCTTGTGGATAGAAAAGTCACTGGTGAGGGAGGAGGTGGGAAAGGGGAAAGGCTGGGGTGCAGCCTAATAGTTCATGGTTGGCTGCAAGCTATGAACAAGACTGGCTGTGAATTATGACATTCTGCCAAGAAGAAGTTCCCTTCTGGTGATGCCAAAAGAGTGCTGTTAATCACACAGTCCCCCCTTGGCTTCAGCGCTGTCACTCAGTGAGGCTTGGCCAGATTGGCCAGTTTCAGCCTTAACCACCATCTCAGCAGCATCTCCTGGGCCTGGACATTGCTCTTACTTAGGAGAGGGGACTGGCCTGTGATAAGGCTGCAGACCTCTGCCGCCAATCTCAGCCTGCCTTAGTTTCCCCAACAGTGTGCAGGCCAGGCTAGCCCAGCCAACATGCCAAAGAGTGGGGTAACCTGCTGACACAGGAGAGGCCCTGCCTCTTCTGACTAGTGGATGTTCAGCATCCCTGGACATTACGTTAGACTCCTGACAAAGGCACCCCAAAACAGGGAATAGGGGAAGGCAGGTGGGAGCAAGCTTGATGGATGCATGCAAGAAAAGGCCGAGGAGCAGAGAGAAGCAGGCAAGAGTTGTGTTTGCAGTCATCTCCTACCTACATCCTGACCACCCCTCCTCATAGATAGGTCAATGTGTTCACTCCTGTGCTCCAGCCTGCCTGTAGAGTGGAGAGAAATGGGCATGAACATGCAAATTCATGCCCTGCCTTTCTCAGCAGTGGGCGGAAGAGTTGAAACAGTGACCAAGAGCTAATCCCTGGATTATAGGTTTAGGACCAATCAAGAGAGCTTGAAGACACATCCATGCAAAGAGTGTCCTGGGTCACGTCCCTGTATGTAGAGACTGAGACAGGAGTTCTTATGCGAGTGATGGATTGAGGGAAACTCTCAGGAGGTACCTGGGAGGGAGGGAAGCAGGATAAGTCAGAAAAGAGCTAAACCTAGGATGTGGTCTCAAAGTCTGGCCTCAGCCTGATCCCTGGAACAAGAACGACAGCAGAGAATTGTGCCACCTCGAGACAAGGAGTCTGGCCTTTTCCATCCCTGCTCAGTCTATCACTGGTTGTGGGCTGCCACCTTGGTGGGAAGGTGTCATCTCCCAGTTGAAGCAGCTCCCATTGGTCAAGGGCAATTCTCCATTAGCAGCCAACTATAAGCCATTAGCAGCCAACACTCACAGTAGCTGGGGACCAGGGGCACCTGGGTGGGGCACTAATAGCATCAACTTCAAACCTTAAAGGTACTTTTGAGCAAAGACTTGAAGAAGGGGAAGGAGATGGCCAAGTGGCTTTCTGGGGCTCCTTCCAGGAGGCTGGGGTCTGTTTCCTGAGATGCAGCGAGCAGGCAACAGCCCAGCCTTTCTGAGTGTTCTGGGTGGGCATGCGTGCACAGGAGCCAAATTCAATGTGGCAGTCCTCACAGGCCACCCTAAAGGCCATAGAGAAGGCCAATGAATGCCACTTGGTGGAGGCAGAATCAAGAAGTGCTCAAAGGCACACACACTCCAGAAACCACTCTCACCTCCGCAGACCCCGGGAGTGGAATTAATCACAGAACTGCTCCTGGAGAGGTGGTTCTATGCCCAAGTCTGAAGAACTGGAGAGACCTGCTATGGAGAAAGGAAGAGGGCCATTTTCCAGACCAGGCCAAATGTACGAATGTCCAGAGGTAGGGATGGGCATGCTGCTTGTGGATCAGCTGCTGGAAGGTATTGAGTCTTTGTGGATCCTGACCCCAGGGCCCCTGGAAGACCAGGGGAAGTTTTTTTTCTATCTTTACATGATGTCAAGGATAGACCAAGCACTTTAGGGCTAGACTGACGCAGGTTCAAATCCTGATGCTGCCACTTGCCCTCCGGAGATAACTAGAATCTCTGCAAAGTGGGATGCTAATGCCATGAGAATTAAATGAGAAGTGCTACATACAGGGCCCAGCATGAAGCCTGGTAGGTACTGAACACTCAGAAAGCAAGCGTGAGCTCCCATTTCCTTCCTCGTCACTTTAGAGGCTACCTACATCTACGCAAACAGCACTTATTCACTCACTCAACAGATACTTTATGACCCCTGCTCTGGATCAGGCAAGTGTGTTAGAGGCTGGGATGAAAAGAATAATTAATCCCACCCCTGTCCTCAAGAAACCTAGAGTCTAGGAGAGTAGATAGAGCAGTAACAAATTTTATTTGTTAAGATGCAGGCGTGCATAAAAGGGCACCTAACCCAGGCTTGGTGGGGGAGGACACCTGACCTGGGCTGGAGGGATGGGTGGACGGAAGCAGAAAGCACCGTGAGAGCAGTTAGAGCCACGCAGGAAGGCAGAAGGAGCCCAGCCTCTGTGGGAAGACATGCTTGTGGCTTTGTATGGCCAATTTGGGAGGGATGTAAGCTGAAGACAGCTTAGGATTCTAAAAAGACTTGAATGCAACACAAGAAAATTTGGGTTTATTCCTCAGAGCCATTAGAAGCCACCAACGGTTTTCAGAGGGAAAAGGAGAGAAACCATTTTTTTTTTTACAATAAGTCTCCAGCAGCTGTGTGCAGAGTAGAGGAGACAAGGGACCACTGGGGGCTGTCACAGCCATGTAAACAAAATGAGATGCCAGAGTCAGCAAAGGCTTCAGGAATGAGGTGAAGGGAAGGACTCCACTAGAGAGAAAACTGAATGTACCAGACATGGTGACATATAGCGTAGAAAAGAGGGACTCATTCAGCAAACTCAGCAAGTGTTGAGCGCCTACTGTGTTCAGTGTGTTCATGAGGTCTTCTGGGCAATGGGAGTGCAGCATCAAGCAAAACAGACACTAGTCCTGCCCCATGGACTCTTACTGCAGGGAGAAAGGTGATAGACAAAATGAAGAATAACTCAAATAGTA